GCCATGATATCGGCTTTTGAATGTGTTCATGATGTATGTTTTCTGGATTACAGCAGCTACATTTTGATTGCTAACATTGGAGATACAATTTGGCCTAGTTGTGTTGGTTCCATGACGAAAATTTGAATCATTGTGTTTTGGGTTAGGCTTCAGACTTTGGTGGCTCCAATTCAGAATTCATGAAACTCTAGGTTGAATTGATATGCACCAATCAGTGATGACCTGTGTGTGCTACTTCATCTTTAACACTTGTCTATCTACATTCTGCCCTCAGCTGCATCTGCAGTCATTAGCTTATATGTTTGGATCGGTATCACAGGGATGGGGTGTGGCTGTGCTTGTTGGAGTTCCGAACAAGGATGCAGTCTTCATGACTAAGCCGATTAATGTGCTGAATGAATGGACGCTTAAAGGAACATTTCTTGGGAACTACAAACCTAGGACAGACCTTCCCTCTGTTGTGGACATGTACATGAACAAGGTAACATCATTTTCTTCTAAGATTTTTGTTTACTTTATCAGGTGTTCAATTAGTTTGTCATGGATTCTAATGAGCAAAGCATTTCTCCTTTTCACTTTCCAACAGGAACTGGAGGTAGAGAAGTTCATAACTCATCGAGTTCCTTTCTCCGAGATCAACAAAGCCTTTGATTACATGGTGAAGGGGGAAGGATTGCGATGCATCATTAGCATGGAAGAGTAGCTGCTATCAGTTCATAATTAAACTTCAATAAGTTTCTTTGATGAACAGCTTTAAGTATTCAACAAAGTATGCAGTTTCACACTGTTAAGCAATATTTTGTGTAACCTGACATGGAAACTATGAACAGCTTTAAGCAATATTTTGTGTACATTTTCATTAGTTTATCATGGTTTAACATTTACTTGGAAAATATAAGAAACAAATTCTTGCTTGCTACTTTTATTTCCCCGGGTTTTAAGCCAAGAACTTTGGAGTAAATGAGTTTGTGAACCCAAGGGACCATATCAAGCCAGTGCAAGAGGTGAAAATTTGTTCTTTATAGAAAACCCCTTAAAGATAGCAGTTATAACCACTAGTAAATCACCTTTGACACCAACAGATTATTGCTGAGATGACGAACGATGGAGTCAACAGAAGCTTAGAGTGCACCGGCAACATTAATTCTATTATCTCCGCTTTTGAATGTGTTCATGATGTATGTTTTTCAGATAACAGAAGTTACATTTTCATATTTGGTAATAACTTAAGGCTCAAGTTACAGGCTAGGGTTGGTTCTGTTTTGAATAACTCTTTTCTGGGTTTTGGATTGAGACAAGGTTGGGGTGTGGCCGTGCTTGTAGGAGTGCCAAGCACAGATGCAATCTTCAAGACTAACCCCTTCAATTTCCTTGACGAAAGAACCCTTACAGGAACCTTTTTCGGGAACTACAAACCTCGGACTGACCTTCCCTCTGTTGTGGACATGTACATGAACAAGGTAACCGAATTTTCTTCTAAATATTCAATTACATTTTCAGGTGTCCAAATCTTCTGTTGGCGATTTTAACGAATGCCTTTTGATCACTTTCCGACAGAAACTTGAAGTAGAGAAGTTTATAACTCATCGAGTTCCTTTCTCAGAGATCAACAAGGCCTTTGACTGCATGTTGAAGGGGGAAGGCTTACGGTGTATCATTAGCATGGAAGAGTAGGATTAATATCAGATAGAAATAAATAAATAACTTAAATTATTTTTCTTTGCTGAATAAGTTTAAAAATTCAACAAGGTGTGATAAAAAAAACTTCACTCCTTATGATTTTAAACTTTTTTTTTAATTGCTTGTTTCTTTAGGGGAAATGCGAGAAAATGGAGGGGTGGAGAGGGGCTTCGAAGTTTGAAGCTCCATTTTGTTTTAATTTGTCATCGTTACAATTTTCTGTGGAAGATTGCTAAATAGTCGAACCAAGGCAAGCTAAATCCAAGGATGTACAGAAGGGTCAGTAAGCAAGCAGATCATATTCTTCCACAAATGAGGCAATGGGTAAATTCTCCATGCACACTACAAGATTACAAGTAACTTAAGATCCACTTTCTGAAATGGATGCCTCACACAGAGTCAGGTTAGCTAGACCTTTCCTAACAGCTTAATTCGGCAAAGCATAGAAATTGGTACTGAAAACTGAATTGACATTCATTTGAAGATTCTAAGCATCAAGACACCAGATATATTTCTTCTATTCATCAAAATCCTTTGTTCCACCTTCTCTGTGTGTGACCACAAATGACATGAAAATGAGTGAACGAGCCCTACCAGTGAGGATGTTACTTATACTTCTCCATGATTCTTCTGGCTTCTTCTAGGCTGTCCTCCATCCCCTTCTCCTTTGGTGTAGAGGTGGTGCCTCCACCCCCCTTCGGTCCTTCATCCTTATTCAAAGCTATAAATGTAAAGTATACAAGTCCCATCGTAGCCTGTTATCATACAATGCTTAGTTCATTACAATTACATAATATTTATGTACTTCAAAAATAAGGACTATCTATACAAGAATAATTCTCTCTTACTGACAAGAGGAAATTTACTTGTCTACATTGCATCTCATTTCCTTATAGAAACTAGTAATGCAGAAAAAGGAGTTGATTTTAAAACACAAACACACAAATGGGAGCACAAGCATACTTCATATACATTTTGGAAAAAGAGAAGTCAAAATAACATCATCGATCTACTGTTCTTGCAGGAGGAGAGAAATAGAAACATACCAGCACAAAGAAAACTGTAGACAGTAAATACTTGAGTACAAAGAGTGAAAGAGCCAATGCAACTACTGTCACAGAAACCCTTGCAATTGATCTTGGCACAGAATCCTAGCAACCAAACACAAAACGCAAACAGACTATCAAAAATCTTCAATTTGTACTAAAAGCAAGAAAAACGGCCTGCATTGAAATTGCAAAATCGATAAAAGTTTGAAAGGGTAGACTAAACGTGACTTACCGGCACAAGATTGGTTCCTGCCTCAATTCCATCTCTCCCAACCTTCCAAACTGTTTGTACAACTATTTTACACAATTCAAACCAGTAGTCAACACAAATGTAAACATAAAACTCAAGGGTAAACTATCTGCTCTCTTGTATGAGCAGGAAAGCAGCAAAAGTAATTCATGTGATGCAGAAAGGTAGAAACACTTGCTGCACATGGCAGCACGTCAGCTAGGTTTCACCCACCAAATGGTAAGTTCCCATGGATTATGGTATGGATGATGTAAACAACCAATGTCGTCCACATATAATATAACTCAAAATCTCAACCAGAAAATTAAAATATTATCCTAACAATTCAAAATTAGCATGCATGAAAGGGTCGTACTTGAAAAGACTTCTTGGCCTACTTTTCATGCATAAGAAAAACAAATTTAAAATAACAAAAATTACCCTGAGAAAATCACACTTGCTGCACATGGCAGCACGTCAGCTCGGTTTCACCCACCAAATGGTAAGTTCCCATGGATTATGGTATGGATGGATGATTCGCCAGTTCTCTCAACTACCGGATTAACGGGTGATCACTCTTTAATGTAAGAAGATTCAAGCTTTTCTAAACGGTTCCATTCTTTAGTTACAGCTTCACTGCTTCTACAAAAGCGCCTTTACCTTTCATGCCTGATTGAAATCTTCATAATACCTTCCTTTCCCGCCGAAGATAAAGACCTTTCTCTGGACTGTCTGTCATAAGAAGTTGCTCACTAATGCCCAAAGACATAGAAGGGGGTTAACTCAGGTCCCTGCCTGTCCGAGATGTAATTACCCCATGGAAACTATTGCTCACCTCTTCTTGGACTGTCCTTACTCTCTTAGCATTTGGAATAACTTACCTACCGGTGATGGGATTAATCACTCCTCTATAGACTTTGAAGAATGGCTGTTAAAAAATTTGCAGGCCAAAAAGAAAGTGTACCATGGGTTGCCTTGGCATTTGGTTTTCACTAATTTTCTGTGGTTTATCTGGAAATGGAGGTGCAAAAGTATTTTTGATCAAGAGTTTGTGATGCCTGTTGAACCACATCAAATCATCCTTCAATATGCTTTGGAGTGGTTTAATACTGTGAAGCCTAACTCTACCATCTCCACCCAAGCTATGGTTCTCTTGCATTGGAACCCCCCTAGCACTGGAACCTGCAAGATAAATACTGATGGGAGTAGAAGCCCTACTACTGGTTTTATTGGTGCTGGTGGGCTCCTTAGAGATACAACTGGGGAGTGGATCAAGGGCTTCTCTGTGAACTTAGGTAATGGCTCTGTCCTTGAGGCTGAATTGTGGGGTATTCTTTGGGGGCTTACTCTGGCTTGGGACTCAGGCTTCCGTAATGTTGAGTTGGAAAGTGATTCTTGTGATGCTGTTACCTTGCTTAATAGTCCTACAATTCCCACTCATCCCCTCTTCAGTATCATAGCGTATTGTAAGTCAAAGATCACGAAGGATTGGCGTTGTTCTATAAACCATATCTATCGTGAGCAGAATGTTGCTGCTGATGCTTTATCTGCTAGGAGCATTGATTTTGATCATGGGACTCATCTCTATGAGACGGCTCCTGACTTCCTAAAGGATATTTTGTATGATGATGCCATGGGTGTGTCCAGGCATCGTCTTGTTGCTGCTTAGGTGTTGCTGTGCTGGGCTTTTAGCCCCCCTTGTTACCAAAAAAAAAATCTTCATAATAGCTTTTTTTTTTTTTTAAATTTATAATTATTTTGTATTAATCGTGGCCTGGTGGTGGTCGTCGCGGGTGGAGGCCTGGTGGTGGTGGTCGTCGCGGGTGCAGGCCTGGTGATGGTGGTCTGTCGTGAGCAAGAGAGAAAGAGAGGGAGAGAGAGAGAGAGAGAAAGAGGCAGCGTTAAAGTCAGGAAATAAAATTTTAAAAGGACCCGACCCGCCCAGGCCGCCTAACTCCCGCCTAGCCGCCTAGGTGGCCGCCTAGCGCCGCCTAGGCGGATTTTTCGAACACTCGACAATTTAACGTTAAAAATTGCCATAATCTAACAGAAATTAACAAGCTTTGGACAGATATTCACCAATACAATGCTACTCAGTTGCAAAAATACCTTTTATCAAAATCCAAAAACCAAAAATATAAAAACACGATTCATAAAATAGCAAATTCGACGAACCCACTAAACAACAATGTTCAGGGATCATAAATACTAAACAGAAGAAGAAGAAGAAGAAACGCAGGGAAGTGCAGCTAACCTTTTAAGAAATTAGACTGTGCAGCGAACACAACCGGAACAGAGCGATACCTCCGGGTCCTCTGCCTCTTATTAATTTGAAGAGCTGAGACCAAAGACTGCTTCTTTAACCTTAAAAATAAATTAGAAGAGAAGAATTGAGAGTGAGAGAAAGCTAGGGTTTGATTCTTGTAACATCTTGGAGAGTGTGGGATTATGCAGCATAGGCTCTGCAACATAACTGAGCCAGCCATCTATATCTTTCTCCAATTTGATTACTTTACGCAGACTAATTGAGAGCATGAACCGCCATTTTAGCTTTTACCCAGAAAAAAACAAAAGAAACTCTCCTTCTCTCTCAGCCTCACAAGCAGCTATCGCTAAATGCTAAGCCCAAATTTGAATTTGGATCCTCTTGACTGTAAATACGAAGAGCCCCATAGAGTTATGGACCGCGAGTTTTGGTTCTTCTTGTTTTTGATGGTCTAGTAATTGGGCTTGAGTTATTAGGGCTTCGTGGGCTATTTTCACGGAGTCCAATCGTCGGAGGGTTTATTCATGTATGATTCATGTATAGTTGATCATAATTTGAAGCTATGGAGATTGATTGATTTTTTGTGTGTACAAGTTTAGTATGAGGAGGGGACTTGAACTTAGGTACAGCGGGGCAAGTTCACTGTCTTGACCAATTGGTCTGAAGATTTATTGATTTATTGATCTATTGATGAGAAGAAGCTTGTTGCATAGGTTTGGGGAGGTTTTGTCAACACTGAAACGTGGATAGATTCCTTAGTGGGAGTTTCCCAAAACCATGCCTTGAAACTTTGGCCCCATGGCCAACATTGTTCTCTGCCCTATGCTATATATAATTATAACTTTTCTTTCTTTTTTCCACATTAGTAAGTTGTGGTATTTATTTTATTTTTAAATTGACTTGTTAGAACATTTAACAAAATTTAATATATTTTTAATACATTTAACAAAATTGACTTGTTAATTAGGTCAATTGAGCAAGACAGTATGTTGTCTTTTGTAGGCAACAATACTTTATAATCTTATATGTTAAAATTTATCTAACCAGTTAACGCTTGAGCTAAATTACAATACTTTATATTATTATAAGTTACCAACAAAGCTTCATCTCTAGCTTATCAACATATGAAGAG